TACGTTCTCCACTAAAAAATCGACATCCGTATGTAAAATGACGCAATGTTTCAACTTCGAGCCTTGTTCGATTGCAGAGTCCGTTGACGATGTATAAATTTCTCAAAAGCATGACGTTTGTGCTTTTCTACTAAGGTACTACGGGGAAAAGCTGGTCACTCCGCCCTTTAGATTAGATCGCTTCATCGACACTTCTAAACAACCTCTCGTCCTTAAGATTAGCAACTTGGAGACGATCCAAACTCCCTCATATAATTGATTTACACGAAAACTTTAAGTGCTATTTTAAGACACTTATATAGCTGTGAAGGAGGATCTCTACAGAGTATGCACCTGTGTTGTCGGATTTACTGTAGAGGAATTTCATAATTCATTTATCCAAATTTAAGTACCTCTGCAATCCATGTAGTCGATGAAGTTCTGTGTAGACTGGGCTCTGTGCGCTCATGGGGTGGGGCAGTGTGTCGCCATGTCGCCAACTCTGAGAGGATACCACTTTGGGTATCTACAGAGCTTTGAATATCTCTACCGAGTGCGCATCTGTGTTCTCGAGGTTACTATGGAGGTCTTTCATAATTTACCTCTCTACGTTCGAGCGAGGACCGCTTTAAGAGCATCAGCTCGAATTATTTTATTCGGGCAGATCTATTAGTGGGTGATCATAGCCCCGTCCATCTCAGTGCAGACCCCTCCTACTATAAAGGTTTGACCACCCTTCTTTTAGCCGTCCTTAACAATCTTTTCCGCAAAAATTGTTCTTAACTGAGTTATGAACTTCTGATTTTAGACCCGCCCACCTTAGTGCAAACCCCGCCCACTCCAAGCGTAAGAAGGGCTCAGCGCAAGTGCGGCCTTGATGACATGGTGCGGATGGTCGAGGTTCCTCCTACCAATCTCAGAAAAGGCTGGTTCAAAATCGTTTGTATGACCGTCTCTGCATAACGCTCCATTGTGTCATCTGTCCCAACGGGCGAGAGGGGGACTGCATGGTGTCAGAGGTGATCTATCTTATCACTTGTGAGGCCTGCGGGGACGAATACACAGGTGAGACCGGGCGGTCTTTAATATGTAGGATCAAGGAAGACCTAGCCGGCCTGAAGAAATGAAGGCCTAAAACGCTCCTCGGAGACCATCGTAGGCAATACCACGAAGACGTAAAGTTTGAAGTCTCAGTCAGCCCACGAACTCAGCGCGCAAAATTTTAGAAGCGTTCTGGATCTGTGGAAAAGACCCCAAAATTAACCGGAAAGACGAGTGTCTGACCATAACAAATGAATGTCGCCCCGTTCCTCGACCTGTGTGGGCTGAAATTGCCACCGGCTTCATGTCGGGATCAGGTTATCGGGAGCCCACCCACTGCGGCCACGTTTGAATAGGCAGTTTGAACGGTGGTCCACACGTCATCTTCTTTATTTCTGAGGTAGGTTTTCCCAGTTGTGGTTTACGAAATTTTTTTAGATATCCGTATTTATCTTGAGCTAACTGAAGCTTGAAATAATGTTGATATTGATGAATCTCAAATACTTTCTGGCTTCCAGGTCTTGACAAAGGCGACAACGCTGAAACGTTTTCCGAATAAAAAGTTTTTTCATCTTGACCGAGGCTATACAAAAACACCTCCATATACTGAGAGTCATACCATGCCAAGATTCATCGAAAGTCGTTCATGGTCACTTCTGGAAAATGTCCATAATGTTCGAATTCGCGTAACCAACATACGAGCCTACGACTGTCAATAACCATCGCTTTTCATCATTTTTATTATCTGCATTTAAACGATCGCCGGGAAATCATTGCGACGCAGCGTTACATCGATCAGTCAGAAGCTAAGTTTATTCACTTTCTAGCATACGCATACGATTTCTGGTAAGTTGTCGACTTTTTGTACTGATACTTTCCCGGCTTTGGCGGTGGCGGTGGTGGTGGTGGTGGTGGTGGAGGTGGTGGAGGAGGTGGAGCCTCTTGTTTCGGCGACTTTGCCTCTGCCTAAACTGTGGAAGTTTTTGAAAAGACTTGATGATTGTCGCAATCTGAAGCCTCATAGTTTTCGTGATGTCCAACAACACCGAGATTCTGAATTTCGTACAAAAAAAGAAAAGCTTGGAAGGCCGAGAATAGCTTTCAACAACGTTATATGTCGTTTTTGTCGAACCTGAACTAATGGTATCTCATAAGCGGCGTCACAGTGCAAATGAGGTTTGGATGCACCAAGTCTGTCTCACATATTATGCAAGATCCACACATTCCTTCCGTAAATCGCCCTAAAACACGAGTTGACTAGCTCGTGTTTCAGAACAATTTATGGAAGGGAGGTCTTGCATGATATTTGAGTCTGGTTGGGGATTTCTAAGGTCTCGAATGCCCTGTTGCAGCAGTCTGGCGTGGTATTATTATAATAGTACTCACAAACACTTTTCTCTCAACCTTAGTTTGTGGTGCTTCAAGACAAATTTTTCGGGATTATACGACTTTTTTATCGGACCTATGTACATTCACGCCTCCTAACCTTCTTCAGGGTCTGTAAATCGGAAAGCAACCGGTTTGATCCCCTCGTATGCGCGAACAATCTTGAGGGAATCTCTAAAGGAATGCAAACACCACCAGAAATCTAAGAATCCAAATGTGCTGCGAACTCGTCCCGATTCTACAAAATTAGTCAGAACTAAATGATGTCGAGAACAATCACTAGATGTAGGCCTGTTCTTATTTTCCTTCTTCCTTCCTATTAATTTCAGATGCCTAAGGAAATTCAGTTCTTTTCAGCATTTTTCACTCTGTAATGGCAAAAACACCTAAAGGTTACATTCGTTGGCCAGGAAGTCAATAGTAAAGGAAGGGGGTACGATCACAACCTTCACTTGTCACGAGTCCTAAGTCTCAGTTGCTTTCCCTAGCCAAGGTGGAGCCAGTTTTGCTCACTTTTTGTCTTTCTTTCCTCTAGTTTTTGAATTTGCAACCTTGTCCTTCTACAACAACTCCTGCTCCTAAAAACTTCTCTCAGATTCTTTTTGCTGGATATCTCATAGTATTCAAAATAAAATGGAGTCATATTAAATACGTGCAGAGTCATCTTTAATTGAGTAGTAGGTGCGGCAAGCGTGAATGATAGTCGAATCAAGGTGCTCACATGAACAATGTCAGAATAGAATCAAAAGTTTCATTAGAGCGTCTGTACGAAAAATTGAACGATGGCGGCTAGCAAACCCGCATCCGTCTGCAGAGCTAAACTACTGCCACTACGCCATATCGACACGGCAAAGCCACCAGTGCGCATTTCAGATTCACGCTACCTTCAAACAAATTTCGAGCGCTCATTACTTTTTTGTCAAAGCGGTTTTGCAATTTCAATTTCCATATTCTTAAGCACATTCCATCGGTCACCTGGGTCTCCAGTGGAAGCTCCACGGTAATTCAACAACTCCTTCTTGTGGATACCACAACCCTAACCTTATACTTCTCCCCAACGCCGCATTCGTGAGAATATCTGCACGATCATCAAGCCCTCACATATCGTTCAGGTTACTTCGCACCCACGGTACAGAAGTGAGTACAAGGTGAGCAAGTGAAGTGAATATAACAGTAATGAAGGTAAGGAGCAAAGCCGTATGAAACGAGAGTTGGACAGTGCTTCCAAAGAAATCAGTTTATGACGTTTTGAATTCCGGTGCAGTAATGAGAAGGTTGGCGTGATAATGGAATTTTTCCCTTGAAACAATTTTTTTAGAGTCTTTGCTCTTTTGCTACTGTTTTTTTTTTGTTTCACTTCTCCACCTCTTCTCTCCTAATTATGATATGCGGACAGAGTGATGACTATGAAGTCGTCACATTAATCAGAGTCGCCTCGTAAGATGCGAAGTGAGCTCAACGATCTGCGGAGCCTGATTGCCGTACACAAGTTCGCTCACCCAGTCACCATTCAAGAACTACTTCATCGTAAAAGCTATGGACTGTTGCTCGCCTTATCTCCACTGTCTCGTCTTATCCGTCTTAACTACTATGCAGATTTTGGAATTAGGTAGTAGTGCAGTGAACGTTTGTTGCTATCCACAACGGAATCGCGGCTACACACAGTGTTTGTTATTTGAGTTTCTAGAATTCGAGACGCTGGGGCGCATTCCAATCTTGGAAAAGTAGCATGTCTATTATGACTGTTGGTTGATTGGTTTTATCAAAGCTTACATATTAGTGTGATCAGTTATTGTCAGTTTTGTTCACCCATCCACAATGCCCTCATCTTCGCCTTTTCTCATTGGCACACTAAGCAGTCTTTCGGGATGGTCCAAGAGTTGCTACCCATCCTTTGATACCCTTTGTTAAGTTGTCTCTTTCTGTTACTTCGTGTCATCAATTATCTGTGTCCCATCACATCCAACGAAAAAAAACTCAAACTTTCATTCGCCGTTAGTACTATGAGCACAGCGTTACCCGAAACTCTCGACCTCCCTTATTAGGTCGCTGGGATTCCCTATTAAGCCCTCTACTCTATTCCTAAGGTTGTTATCACTCCTCATAATCCATTACCACGGAAAAAGGAGGGTATGAATTTCTGATCTAATTCTGCCCTAATTCAGGTACTGATAAGTTAGCCAACAGTTGCTATAGGTGTACGTTCTAGACATGCTGGTGCCCTAAGATCTGATTTGTTAGCCATCCGAATGTGATTTTCATACTCGCGCAGCTAAGCATTGAGTGACTGACAACAATCCGTTACAATGAACATACATACATGCGGAGATTTCAACTCCAGTGAAAAAAGCACTGACAGTTTCCTCTTATAATATAAAGCCTAATGCAGCTTTGACTGAACAAGAAGGATTTTTTCTGCCCACAATGCGAGCCATTATGAACCACGACAACGAATTCGGCTTCATTAAGGATCGTAGCGGTATTTGAACGCGCATGTCCCCTATGTAACGAGTTACAAGGGTTAATCAATGCAAGAATCAGCGCCTTAAACCTTTTAGACAGAATACATGATTAAATAGCAACCCCAGAAAGATTCAAGTGTAATTCGTCTTGATGGAATCCTGTCGAGATTTCAGCTCTGACCAAACTTGTAACAAAGCTAGACCCAAAACACTTTTCAGACCAAAAAATGATCTTTTACTTCTCAAAGCAGTTTTGAGTGCTGCTCTAGCATGCCATATGCTTATCTTTTTTTGTTTGACCCCTTGTTTAGCTGCACACCCTGTTTTACTGTAACGTCTCCATCTCTCATGTTGACGTGTGACTGATAAATGAAAAACCGACCGAAGGGAGGAGTCTACAATGAATGATATCATTGATTTGGACTTTTCCTGTTCCTTTCAAGACTTTCCCTCCCTTGAAAGCATTGCGGACTCAGATCTTGCTCTGAGGGCCTGGTAGCCCTATGGAAATGATCTTTGACATCTGCTTACGGCATGCCTATGAATACTTCATCTGAACCTGTGCCATGGCTGAAGGAAAGGCATGAGTGAAGAAATGGCGCGGCACGGGATATCCGCAAATTTTGTGATCATTGCGATGACAGCTTGCAGACCGCATGAGGAGGCAGAGGCACCACCACTAACCCGTGTGCACCTGATATCGAGGCGACGACTGATCAACACCAACAGACCAGAATCCTTACCTTTTTTCAAATAATTCATCGTCACTCACCACTAGTGTACCTATCTTTTAACTATCTCTCGTCTATTCAATATACTGATCAACTTAGCTGTCAATTTCTATATACATCTCAATTGCGAATTGGCTTGAACCGAGGTGCAAAAGTGTTACCTTCACACGAATAAGTGTGCCAGTAAAAGCCATTAGAATTCCAGTGACAACCTTTGTTCGTCACTTTTGGTTAGGAAACATCGTTACCTTTTTTCCAAATAGTTCAGCGTCGATGTCAGCTTCGACTTCGGCAGAACCTTTCCTATCTGTGACGGCCTCTACAGGCACGAACGCGGATTTGTCCGCCATCTTCGAGTCGGGCTTCGATAGGAAATAAAACCACCACTCCCCATTCTGTTGTTCACTATCTTCATACCGAATGCTAAGCTCCAGCAATAGATATGAATGTTATCTACGTTAAACTCAATTGAACTTCACTGTAGGTGACCTCATTTTGAGTGCGGTGCTGCCCAGCACTGGGGACGGAACATTCATCTATTTCTGGATGGACGAGGCAGACTGCGGGGCGAAAATCGTGGTGATTACCATTGCACGTTTACCACTGCAAAAGTTCATCGTGAAGAAAGATCATCTAGGACTTCTTTTTTGTCCAGTTCGCGTCGGTCAGTCGTCATCGGCGCCAGCCCTCATAATTCCATCTCATAGGCTGACTACGATTATCATTTTGAATCATCACCTGCAGTGTTATCACGCGAGAGTCTACTCCAACATAACTTCACTACGCAACAACTACTTTGTTATATCTGTATGTAGTCTTCGCACGTGCTTCGTCTGTAGGAAAATTGGTGGTCACGCACCTTTATCGGGAACTGCCAACGTTACCAGAAGATCTTGTCCGCTTCAGTACGTCGGTATCGACTATCTTGCCACGCTAAGTCATCGCAGCTTCTACATATTCCTCTGTGAAAAAGGTTTGGGTTTGCCTCATAACATGCATGGCTAGCAGGGCAGTTCACCTCAAACTCGTCACGAACAACACAGTTCAGAAATTTCTGCTAGCCTTCTACAATTTTGTAGCACCTAGGATAATCCGCACATTATGTACAGCGATAACGCGACTACATTTCAAAGGGGGCTTTTACAAGCGCATGGTTTAGCTTTTCAAATCTGCTTTTCGCAAAACAGTTGGACGCTACTCGTGTACGAGGAGTTCCAGACCATCTTCGCAGAAATCGAGGCTGTCATAAACTTTCGCCCTTAACTTCCTTTCAGGAAACGCAGTCGTCATTAAGCGCATTAGGACCTATAGATTCCATTTCGCAGCGAGTTCCCCTGTATATACCACCTTCAGATTATCTGCAAAGCGAATTTGCAGCTACCGCGCACAAGCTCGCTTCCTTGTACAACCCCTTTAGGTTCTTGACCATTTTTGGTATCCGTGGCACACACACAGGCTGCCTTGCAGCGCTAAAAGGGCGGCACCGCTGCGTATAAGACAGCCTAAATACATCGCAGCGCCGCTTAACATCAACGACGTGGTCATATCGTCGACGAAAAGCTGCGTAGAAGTCATTGGCCATTAGGGCTTCTAACAAATATCCATAGTAGTGCAGACTGTAAGTTTCGATCTGCAGATGTTCGTACGTCAAGTGGAAAACTTCTCATAGCGCATTTGCATCCTTTAGAGATTTCGGTGAAATGCACTGATCCTCAGACTCGCGCAGGCAGTATAAAGATCCAATACCACAGCTATCGCAGAGAACGTAACCTGCTCGAGTCGCAAAGAGGCAGCACAAGTTAATCCGAAGCTGGTCGTTGCGCAACATGTTTGTTCCGTACGCTTTTTGACAGAACTAGGTCCAGCGTGCTTCACTAGAACAAAACGTGCTCCAATCACACGCGAGCACGGCCGGCAAAGCCCATTTTCGAAATCCGGTTGTTCACATGTACTTTGCAAAATTACTAACATTCTCGCTCTTCCATCTTCAACAACTCTATTAATTACTATCCTGCCGATACAACGGCATGGTTTTCTTATCTTCTCTTCCTTGCATGCAAGGACGATGTATTGGTCAGGTACCAATGTTAGACAAAACAGTAGTCAGTGGGACACTGAGCTTCGAAAAAGACTTGATTTCCGTACATGACTTCGTACTCGTATTCGACGCTTCTGCCAAAATCCTTCGTTTTGATTCCATACTCAGTAAAATTCCTGACGAAATTGTCGACAAATGAGTGGCATCGGCGCGAATCTCGAGCGATTTTGCGGTTTGACAGTCCTTCTTCCTCTTTCTGCATGGATTTCACCTTTCTCGACATCGATGGCAGTTGATAGAGAAAAGTGTCCCTGTTATTGAGATAGAACTCGTTATTGGTCTACAAGTTACGGTCCGAGTAGGCTCAATTTCCATATCAAGCCTTTTCCTAAAGTGCTCGGGTACGTGAGTTTTGCTGAAATTCATGGCTGGTTGTATTATACAACGCAGTGTAGCTGTTTATCGTCGGAAGTTGCATACAATACGTTGGAAGGTCGAAACCTGTCATTAAGATGACCGCTTAAGACGGAAGAGCGTGAGGAATTTAGGAATTGGATAAATTTTCTTAACCATAGCAAAACTGTTTCACAATTTTCGTGTCATCCCTTCAACCACTTCTCTATAGTGTCCACAGATGCCTTTAAGTCTCGGGCGGAAACATTTTTCGTTACTGGGCGAACAGCGACTAGCTTTAGCGCTTTATCGCTTCATTTGAGTACCGCTCGCGAACTATCCGGAATACTACACGCTATAAAAACGCTTGGCCCGCTGATAGCTGGAAAAAAGTTCAAGTTCAGACTGGCAGCCAGGGAGCTCAGACAGTTTTCTGTAAAGGAAGTACAAAAAGAGACCTTCAAAGCCTAGTAGGTCAGATCTGGCAAGTAGTGAAACAACTCGCCCTTCACTTAGAGGTGCTTTGGATTCCTAGAGAGTTGAATATGGGACCAGACGAAATAACTAGAATCGCAGATTTGGATGGATGTAAGTACGATAGGTACGATGAACTGATCGGAAACGGAGGCCCGTTTGAGGCTGACATGTTTGCCGACACAACTACAGTAATGTAACACGTTTGTTTTCAG